GGTAACTAGCATTAGCATTTATGACAGACTGTTAACTTCATCGTAGCATAAAGTGAGGAGAGAGGGAGGCAGAGTGGCATGAGCATGGCCATGATTGACTGCACTAAGCCACGCCTCCTGGCTCTGATTGGCTGCTTCCAGTAAGCTCTGGGAGAAAGGAGAGGAGCTCATGTTTTCTTCATACCATGCAGTCACGACATAGTGACTGGTTCAACAAAAATGTAAAAAAAATAATATTTTTAATAAAAAGTTACATTCAGCTTTTGATGTTTCTTTGTTGTTTCCGGTCAGGGCCAGGCGATGGCTCACACCGTCACGTCCCAGCACAGCTCGGTCAATGTGGAGGGCCTGCGGGCGGCCACGCCCTACGTGGTGCAGGTCAGGGCCCGCACCGTGGCCGGGTACGGTCGCTACAGCAACCCCATGGACTTCAGCACCAACCTGCACAGTACGAGCGCTTTCCTCCCTCCCTCTGCTGTCTGTCCTTGATGGTCTGCTGCCATAGCTTTTCCTAATGAAGGTTCAGGCTTAATAGCTTTTATGACCGACTTAATTGGTATCCATTACACATCCAGCTCCAGCTGCTCTTTAATCCGTCTGCTGGTATTTATTCGTATGTGTTTTACAATCCAGGTGACCCCCAGAAGTCGGTGCAGGACCAGCTGACTCTCATCATAGGCTCAGTCTTGGCCGGTCTGGTGGTCGTCGTTGCCTTGGTGGTTATCGCTGTTGTCTGCCTTAAGTAAGTGTTTGATTTTTTTCCCCTTTTCCATCCCTGACAACACGAACTACATGTTTCGCCGTGTTAATTAGACTTTGAACAAAGAGGCTCATTAAATTTTCAGATGAATTCAAAGGGTGTGCGCTTCCATGCAACTCTTGCCTCTTAAGCTCCAAGGAAAAGAAAGCAGCGGCGCTCTTCCTCGGCCTGGCTTCCCGGCTGATGTCGGAGCGGTTTATTAGCTCGATTTCGCCGCGCCTGGGAAAGAGCCGCAGCTGATTGTGTGAATGTGACTCTGCTCATGTGCTTGTTGTTTACAGGAAGCAGCGCAGCGGGTCGGAGCTGGAGTACACCGAGAAACTGCAGCAGTACAGTGAGTTTCTGTGTCCTTCTCCTCTCTGCTGCTGTAGTCATGCCAGTACAGTTAACCAACTGATTTGGTCAATTATCCAATCACCTGTTTTGAGTCAAAGAAGACATGTTCCTGTTAGCTCGGAGGAAGTCAGACCTCGCAGATGAAGCAGAGAGTTAGATGCATGTGCTGCCGGAGGGTTATTGATTATTGGGAGAAGAAGAAATAAGTCAAAGAGTGAAACAATGGTTTTTATTGATCTGCATTATTTCTGAGGAGATTTTAGCATGCACACAGCCTCTGCATTTCCATTGTTGCTGTTTGATTTTTTTTCTTTTTTTGCCTTAATTGTTTTTCTGATTTTTCCTCAACTGTGCCAAATTGAACAAACTACCCCCTAGTTTAGTTATCAACTAAACACTATAATTTGTTCAGATTAATGTTTACAACCAAAACAAAGGATTAAAAATATGAGAATGACCAATAAACTGCAAATTGTGATTTGAAAATTATGGAGTGCTGACTGTAAAGTTATGCAATCAATAATGAAGAGCAATAATTTGGGTTATTTAGCGGGAAAAAAAATGGAGGTACAAAGTTATATTTTCACAATGTTGTTCATGCATTTTTATATGTCGCAGTTCTAAATATTTAATCCACAAGCTAAATAATTATTTGTAAAACAATTTAGCTAGCTAAGAACGAAATAGTTAGCCTGCACACTAAATATTTATGGAGCTAAATTTATAGGGATAAATATTTACACATTTAGCATGCTAACTGTACATTTAGTTCGAAGTTAGCATGCTAACTGCATATTTAGTTGAAGTTAGCATGCTAACTGTATATTAGTTTGAAGTTAGCATGCTAACTACAATACAGTTTGTCACTGACAATTATAAATGACATGGTGAATTTATGACTTTAAAAAATTAAACCCCCTTCATTTTCTGTTCATTTTTGACTGTGCAGTTTTACAATGAAACCCATAAAAATGACCTATTTCTATTAGTTAGCTCTGGTGTTGCATTCAGTGACCACATTGAGAAGTTGTCACTAGTGATGTTGGCCTCTTAATGTGAGGCAGGCCATGGCAGGTTTATTTAAATAGCACCATTCATACCCAAAGCAACAATGCGTGCAACAGCCTGCTGTCGCTACATGTTGGTCCAGGAGGAGTGAACGCTGCAAGTCAGCGACTAGATGCAATCTGAGTTTCCTTAGATGGAAACTTTTAACCATTTAGATTAATGAACTAATCTTGATAACAATGAAGTATTTGAAATATGTGTAACTGACTTGGCATATGTCTGTATCAATAGATTTGATGGAATTTCTTCCCAAATTTTCTACAGATTTACACTGTTTTGAATTTGTGCTGCATAAACTGAATTCAATTGCCACTGTTTGACGAATGGCAGCAGTTCGCCAATTTCAAGTATGAGGAGTCACTGATGGTTTTTAAAACCTTGCAGCAATTCTGAAAAAAAAAATCCAACATTTTGTTGTGTGACCATTGTGTTGTACTTATATTTTTAGATTTTTCAGCACATATTCTGCGATGTAAACCACTGAAATATTTCATAAGTTTAAAGGTTTTGAAATTCATGTATGTCAGAAATGTGATTTTTCCACAATTCATACAGAGAGGCTGGGAATCAACTTGTAGGTGAAATCCAGACTGATGGTGACCCTTTCTTAACTTGGAGTGTTTGGAGTTGATGAGTTTTCTGGCCTCAGCTCCTCTCGGATCTGGAGAATTTCTTGGTCATTACCACAACATTTTAACAATCTGATCTTTTGTTTTCACTTATGCTCCATAACGCGCTGCTCTCCCGCATGCTGGCAAATCAACAGATCATGGTGTTCAAGTTGTTCCTGGATTGTAGGAAGACGACATTCTTGGAGGATGTTTTCGTTCCACTTTTTGTTCTTGGGCTGAAGTAAAACCACATGATAAGAAGCAACCACACACATGGACCGAATCAAGATGTTTCACTGTTGTCACAACATGGGGCTAATGGAAACGCTCATCTTTTCTGCATTGAGCATTGCATTGCATTTGATTTTGTCAATCTCCCAACAGTCACAAGGATCAATCAGGGAAATTCATTTTGACTGCTCGTCCTTCTACTTGTTCCCTTGTTGTCAAAGGCCGTTGTTCAAAAATTGCTGCTTTGGCCACTGCTGTGTGGAAACTGCTGGTATTTTCATGCGTTCATTGGGGAAAAGTTCCACATTTAGACAGCACTGCCAAAGAAGCACCTTCAATCCACTGTAGTTGTTATGCCAGGCCACTAGATGGCACTGTGATTTTGGCATGTCGTCGAAACGCATATGTGCTTTCGAACATTGGCTTCCGCCTCACTTACAAAAAACATTAACCAGTCTCTGATAAAACAAGTGCTCATTCTTATTGGAAGTTCTGCCATTATTTGTTGTCTTCCCATGCAACAAATCCTGTAGTCGTGCATTCTGCACATATGTGCCTTCACACCTTTGTAGAAAGTCTGTATCTTAGGGTGTTCCCAAAAAGACTTGGTTTCAAACAGTGTCAAACGCTGCATTTCCATTACAAATATATTCCGGGAATATATTTCTGGATATGTTTGTTTAAGCCTTGTTTGCTGATCATTAAGTTCCGGTTGGTCCAAAATAAAAAACATTCTTTAGGTTATTCATGCCAGGAGTTTCTATAATGCAATTTTAGCGAAATGCTTTAACACAGGAACTGTTTTTTGGGGAGGTAACTCAAGAACAAAAGTGATTCTATTGAACATGTGATTTCACCCGGATTCTTTCAAAACTCCACCTGTGCTGATAACATGATGATACGGAAATCCTATTGGCTGGCAGTTTTATTCCAGGACAAAAATGCTAAGAAAATGGGTTTATGTCACGAAGTAAACCTTTAAGCCAAAAAAAAATAAATAAATAAAAAAAATTGCTCAATGCAGCTTTCATTGGATTTTACCTTTAGCCTGTCAATAAGGAACCTTGTAGAGTTTCAGACATAAAAATGAGAAGCCGTTATAAAAATTCACAAAGTACATTACACTATTCACTCCAAAATGCTAATATAGAAATCAACTTTATTTATTTAACTTCAAATCTGACCACAGTTGTGTTTTCAGCGATCACTCTCAATGTTCCGCCTCCAATTATCCGGTACACATGCAAGGCTCTGATCTTTCTTTCTTGTTTTTCCTCCTAGTTTCTCCAGGGGTCAAGGTGTACATTGACCCCTTCACCTATGAGGACCCCAACGATGCGGTTCACGAGTTTGCCAAAGAGATAGACATCTCTTGTGTGAAAATCGAAGAAGTAATTGGTGCAGGTAAGCGCAGCAGCCGCTTTTGTTCGGGAGGAGAAAGAGACGGCTTTAGTTTGTTATTCCTCAGAGCCTCGGAGGAATAAGTCCTCTCTGGGAGAAAAAGGGATAGCATTCACAGTGCCCTTGAAAGCTGGAAAGTACTGACATGACTGTTACTTTTCCCCCTTCTAGATTGTTTTCTTTTCTCTTTTTATTTCTCTCCAGCAGCATGTTTTGTCCTGATGAGTCTGGTCCTGCTCACCCAACTTTCATGCATCCCTATGTTTTCTTTCTTTCTTTCTCTCTCTCTTACTTCCCTGTAAACATACTTGCTAGGCACTAGATGCAAAACCCTCAAGTACTTCGCCCATCCTCTGTCTCCCTGCAACACACCCAGGTTGCACCCTCGACCGATACCAGTCACCCCCTCTCTCCCCAACATCTTTGATCCTTGAATCCCCCCTCCACAACCCTAAGATTTCCTCTTCTTTTTTTCTAAACGTGTCCCACAGTTGAAGCCGACCCTCAACTCTTTCAAGTCAGCTCCTTCACACCCAAATCCGACCAGTAACTCTCCCTCTTCCTGCATTTCCCCCCAACTCCCTCTTTCCCGACACCTTCCCTCTGCTCACTCAACCCCCTCCCCACATCACCCTCCCTCCCTCCCGCCACTTTGTTCTCTTGCTGCAGGTGAATTTGGCGAAGTGTGCCGCGGCCGCCTCAAGCAGGCCGGCCGCCGGGAGATGGTGGTGGCGATCAAGACTCTCAAGGCGGGCTACACCGAGCGCCAGAGGCGAGACTTCCTCGCCGAGGCCTCCATCATGGGTCAGTTCGACCACCCCAACGTAATTCGGCTGGAGGGTGTCCTGACACGGAGCTGCCCTGTCCTCATCATCACTGAATTTATGGAAAACGGCGCGCTGGATTCCTTCCTGAGGGTGAGCATGCTGGGAGTTGCAAATTGCGGCACCTCTGACGGGGAAGATTACTTTCTGCTCGCATCAAAGCCGAAAGGAACACACACGCAGACAGTCAGCCACAGCACCTTTGGGTTATTGGAATGTTTTACTGCGTGTAAAACAGCCTGAGGCGCTCGCTTGCTGAGTGATAGACATTAAACGTGTAATAGAAAGCTTGAAGACAGGCATTGTGTCTTTGCTTGACGCGGCTGAGTGATGCTGACAGCCTCTTCGCGGCACAAGCTCCTGCTGGATAACTTGTCACACGCAGACTTTTGGATAAGTTTGCTTTGGTGTGTTAGAGAGTCCCCGTACAACCACTGAATACATTATCGATCAGAGTTGTCTGTACACACCAAACCGCCTACGCAAAATGTTGAACAAAGGCAGGATGAGAAATGAGATGTCACAAGGTACATTTCCAGCTGCGTGGGGGCTATTACATGTCATTTACATTCAATAACGCTCGTTTTCCTGCATGGCTGAACTTTGAACATGTCTACTCTGTGAAACTGGGGGGAAATGAGGCTGCTTCATGCTAGTTTTGTCTCATGTTGCTTGGCGTGATAACTGCTTTAGCTATCAGCAGCTTGGGTCAGGGGTGTTCTGGAGATTCAGGAGTCTTGACATCTTCCAGCTTGTTTTGATTTATTTCCATTTCATTGGGTTCCATTCCATTTGCTCACAAATAAAAGCATGTTTCCACCCAGGGATTTCATGTCCGCCTCCTAATTCAGTAAATCATTTTAAAATACTTTAATCATATGAATATTTTATGGTCTTAAGTGGAAATAAGGACAATCGTTTTCCCTCTGAATCGATAACAGATCCAGGAGCCCAGCCAAGACGCCTGTTCATGCATATTAGATACATACCGAGAAGTGTAATGCAGGCATGTTACCACCATCTCGTGGTCAGAGTGGTCATTTATTTAATTACTACTATGCCCACTTATGCCTAGTGCTGCAAAATTGCATCATGCTTTCATATATATTCCATGCATGTGCTTTATTGAAATGAGCAATTTGTTCTTAACTCTGAATCTGCCTGAAGGTAAAAACACATACACATATAGATATGTCAAATTCAGGAATGAAGGATTGAAAAAACAAGGTGGTGCCTGGGCTGTGGTGTATGCTCCCATTGCACACATCTGTCAGGCTTTGTTTATTACATATCTGTGAATGTTACAAACATCATCTGACTTTTGGGTGACGATTACGTTCTCGTTTCTCAGTGTAAATGCTGCGAAATGATTCACACTTTATGGCCAAACTGCAGTATTTTTAATCCCAACGAGAGCCGCTTCTCCTCTCCTGTTAGAGCAACAAGGAGTACTGCGTCAGCAAAATCTCTTTCATTTTCTACAGTTGCAGCTTTCTCCATACTTTGTAGTGACTCTAAGTTATAAAGTCAATCAATCAAGTTTATTTGCATGGCACATTTCAGCAATAAGGCGGTTCAGAGTGCTTTTCATCATAAAATCGCAAAAATAAAGACATAAAAACATCAAACAGACACCAATTGAGAACCCAGTAACAAACATTACATTTTGTCGAGTACCATCATCAAAACCATCAAATATGTTGGTCCATGTTCCAGTGATTATGGGTTGAAAGCAACTAACTCAACTGCAGTAATCAATGCGACTAAAGATAAACGGATGGATGAGATGTTGAGACATTTGTTCTCTAATTCTGGAAATGTTCTTCGGGCGATAGAAGGCCGACTTTCTAACTGTCTTTATGTGGCTCTTAAAGTGTCGTCTGTCTGACAGAATTGTCAGTCACAGCTCTTTTGCTGAAAATCATAGCTCTTATTTTTGCACCCAACTTGCTTAGAGAGAACTTGGTTGACGTTGCTGGGTAGGGAGGATTGTTCTTTACTATTTCACAGAAAAAAAAACATTAATTTGAGATGTATGTCTTGACTGATTTTTGGTGTTGACACTGCACAATAGGTATATAACAAGGTCTTGCAATATTGCAATCTCATTATATTCTATCATCAAAGTAAATTGTGTCTTTTGAAGCTTTAAATTTGACACCCTGGCTGTATTTGAAGTAATAAGGGACGTAGCTCTTGAGATGCACACAGTCACAGAGTCGACTAATAAAAAGCTTGCTGAGCGGGGTGATAACATTATTATGTTGTCTGTGTGTCAACATTTTGGGTGCGCAGTAAAAAGAGACTGTGACAGAGAAGATGAGTGATTTCTAAGCAGTGTAAGAACATTGTGATAGGCTAACTGTTAACCGCTAATGATGCTAAAGTTAGCAAAGAAGGCTTATGAACCGTTTTTTGATGAATTTAGACAACATTCGACAATCACTAGTTGAAAAAGTGGAGCTCTATAACTCCATATTGAACAGATATTCTTTAAAACTCACCGCAAGCTTTATGAAACCTTTATCCTGTTTGTGAACACAGTTATTTTTCTACGCTTTTTTGATAAGCTCCTAAATGTTAGATTTTTGTTAGCATAGTCAGACATTTTTGATCAAAAAGTACTTTAGAATTTTTCTATTTAAAAAAAAAAAATGTATCTATGTAAAATAGAACCATCTTTTTATCGTATGTAATTCCATTTTGATTTATCCTCTTGTAGTTCATTTATACAGTCGCCTGGAAGGACTTAGCAAAATGCAAAAGCCACAACTAGAAAAATAAAAGCTATGCTAAAACGAACCGCTATGTTAGCAAGTTTAGCATAATTACCAGTGTGGCTCATCTGGTTGAAGTTGTGCTTTTTTGTTGTGGCGTAGTTTTTTTTTTTTTTTTTTTTTTTTTTTTTCATTTTTATGACCCTTCTTTGCCACTATAAATTTAGATGGATGTAGAACTAATTACTGGTTTTTGTAAACTATCTTCATTGTAAAAAATCCCAAACAAACAAAAAAAAAAAAAAAAAAAACAGTGAAATCGTCATGAAGTTGGAGTTGGAGGCTCATTTCATGCAGTAGAAATAGTGCAGTTTAATGGGTGGTGTTGGTGGGTGAAACCACCTGACTGAACTCTTCCCTACATCCACTGGTTTCCCTCTGAGCTCTGAGGTTCAGGATGAACTCGGGCTTAAGTAACTACCAAACCATCCTACCCAGCAGCACTGTAACAATGTATTAAACTGTATCCTGCTGACTGCGCTGGGGCCGCTGTTTGTGGTAAACACAACTTCCTCAGATAATTAGGCTACTTTGTAAGTTTTATTTGGACTGTCAATGCCCCCGTCGTTAGACTGAAATAGGTTTTAGGCTGAGTGAGAAAGTAAAACTCGTCTCTATCTCTCCGAGTTGCTGCTCTGTTTCATATCATTGGTTTGAAATTGTGCCATTGTTAGTCGTTCTTCTGTAAGACGAAAAAGAAGTGTGCCCAAGCACAGCACGCTCTGTGGAAATTAGTGTAACATGACTGTTCCTGTCAGTAATCACTGGAGCTACATCCACTGAACAACATAAATACCAGTTAAACATTTTTTTCATTTTTTTTTTTCAATTCAGCCCTGCTGCTGCTAAATTAACTTTGCATATTGATTCTTATGGTTCTAATTTTGATTTAGGTTCATCGTATTACACACTTACACATCCGGTGAGGTGCAGAGGTGAGCAACCTGTGGCTCTTACAACCCAAATAGGAAATGTTTTCATTTATGAAGACAATCAGAAAGTGAGGTTGTAGCTGTACGATGTCTAAAACAAAGGCTACCAAAAGTGAAACGCTTTCAAAAGTAATTTAGTTTTATTTATTTTACCATTATATTTTTACCTAGCTTTGTTTTTGTTTTGTTTTTTTTTGTTGTTGTTTTTTACTCATTCAGCTCAGTTCATTCAACAAAAAAATGACACATTTCCATGTAAAAGTTAGATTATTTATGTTGTTAAATATGAAAGTACAAATAACCAGCACACACTAGAAATGCAACTTTTAACACACCATTTCCATTGACCATATGGTTTGAATTACGAAAATAAATTTGCTTAATGAAAACATGCCAATTTGGGGGAAAAAACCCCCAAAACTTCATGCTTTTCAATAAAAAAAAATTTGTTCCTGGGTGAGGAGGTTTTTCTTCTGTATTGAAATACAGATGTGATGTGAAACACTCCTTTCACATCACATGAGTCATGTGAACACCCAGATGTTACTTCTGGAGGAAATGATGAAGAAGATGACAGGAAGTGGTAGGAGGAAGATGGAACAGTATGTTTTGTAACGACACCATGTGAACAAACTTATTCATCATTTTTAATCGCATGTCTTATTAGAAATGACGCAATTGTAAAATTCTGGTTGTGTTTTTTCGACAGGAATACTGACAAAGTTTTGAGCGCATTTGTAATAGTAATAAAATAATAATATTGTTGCTGTAAAGATACAGTTCATAGTGTGTTTCTGTTAAAAGCAGCTCATATTCTACCTGCAGCAGATAACACCTGTTGTCATTAGTTGGTCCCACAGGCTGAAGCTAACAGCTTGCCGTAGAGGACAGGTGTCAGACTCCAGGCCTCCATGGCTGGCCTCCTGCAGCTTTTAGATGCACCTCTCTGTCAACACACCTGAATCACATAATTACCTTTAGTAGGACTCTATAGAATTTCAGTGCAAGAAGAGATAATTTGCTTCTTTGATTTAGGTGTGTTGGGAATTGGGACGCATCACGAAGTTGCAGGACAGCAGCCCTCGAGGACTGGAGTTTGAAGTCTCTTAAAACAACTCCAGTCTCATAAATGTGATGTTTATGTTTGGCCTTACATTCAGTATTGGGTATTAGGTCTATTCCTGACACATACTGCCTTTGATTATAGCACAATCAACTGTATCCTTCAGTGGCTTTAAAAACTCTATATATCTGAAATATGACAAAAGCGATTTTACTTTGTAATTTAACGTCTTTGGCCTCTGTCCCTTTAAAACTTCCTACTCTTTCTAAAACTCCTACAAAGAGGTGAATCATTTATGCTGTTCACGTAATGGTTACAATAACTGTGACATTAAGTGAAGTGGTCCAAACAAAAGGAGGAAAAAAACAACAAAAGCTGATAGTGATTAAAGTTTTAACTTCATAAAATGTTATGTTCTGTTTTACTGGTTATGTATTTACTGTGACCAGGGAAGCTTCACATGTTGACACAGAAAGATCATTAGTGGCACGCTGCTAACTGTGTAAAACATCATCAGCTTCTGTGTAATTAACAACCCAATTACAAACATGATGACAGGTAACTTTGTTTTTAAGACGTTAAAGTCCCCATTAGTTTTTCACCCTGATAGCTTCACTCAGATACCAACTAATCTGGATTTATACTTTATGAGAACGTCAATAGTTATACATTATAGGTAACATTTTAATTGCTTATGTCCTTTTTCAAAAAACTCAAACTATTGATTTAATAAGCTACATCATTAAAACAGTGTGTGCTTTTACTACTAATCAAGGGCAACTCTAAACAGGAGAGGTTTTTAGCCTAGATTTAAAGGAAGTCAGATTTCTGGAAGGTGTTTTTTTTTTCCAGATTTGTGGTTCAGAGAAGCTGAATGCTTCTTCTCCATGTTTGGTTCTGGGCGGTGTAGAGTAGACCACAACCAGGAGACCCCAGTTGATAGAACAACAGGTTTTGGATGTATTTTGGTGCTAAGCCCTTCAGTGATTTATAAACTAGCAGAAGTATTTTAAAGTCTTTGAGCTACAGTGGAAGGAGTTGGAGATTCTGTCCTATAAGAAGGACTTTAAAACACAGGAACAGCATGCTGGGAGGTGTTCAGGTGTTGTAAATCTGGACCCGTTTCAAACCACACCCCCAGTCCACAGAAGGTTCATGGATGAAGTGATGGATTAGTGCAGATGCTTTGTATGACAGCAGATTAGGGTGATCTGCTGTGATGCTAGCTAAAGAGAACAGCAAAGGGAAGAAGAAAAGCTAACCTGAAACCGTTGGACAATGTAAATGTTTTATTCAAATGGGTATCATTCTGCTTATTACCACGTCTTTATTTGAAAACTTGTTCTTGGAAATTACAGTCAGTAGTTGTAGCTCCATGTGAAGTTGTTTTTTTTTCTACGTTAGCGGAATATTGACAAAATTTTCCTCACATTCATAATGGAAACGCAGCTTCAGTCAGCTATCACATAAATAACAGAAAAACCTCCTGCCTGCTCCCTGCTCGCCTCTCTCCTGCCAGTGTCACTCAGCCGGCGACTCAGGGGAACTCGGGGTTCTACTCTAATGAGGAAACTACTGCGTTAACAACCACACACACATTTATTTACTGTCCGAGTCAGTCACTCACGGGAAATTCTCAGCTCTTGCTTCCCAGAAGACCTACTTTCTGAGCTTTCAGGACATGTGCGCATGCAGAACCTTCACATGCGGCCTGAAATAACACACATGCATACACAGGACTTTCTGAAGGCCTGCAGTGAATCATGGCTGTTTATACATCCATCCATCCCAGCCCGTTCGCCTGTCGAACTTCACCGGAGTGTGCAGACTACAAAGCGAGCGTGTTTACCGTTTCTGCCATGTCACATCTGTGCATGCGTTCCTGCTTTTCTCACAGTCGAGTCAAAGGAGGCAACGATTATGCAGCATAGTATTTTCTCCAGTTTCTCTACCCAGTTTTATTAGATATTCAGGTCATGAGAGAAGAAACTTCTCCCCGTTTTTTTTTTTTTTTTTAATTGTCTATTGATGTTCCATCGATTCTCTCCGGCTCTCCGATCGTCAGGGGGTCACGAGTCTTCACAGGTCGGACCAATCATTTATTCTAATCTCCACTTTGTGACATGCTTCACTAATGTGGAGAATTGTGAAATGAACCCTGAAAGCCCCACAATCTTAAGATTTGTTTCATGCTTCTTTAATGGTTAGCAAAAAGGAGGGCAAATAAATAAATAAAGAAGCTGCAAATCAAGGACTTTTTGGTGCAAGATGCAATTGGAAGGCGGTTTCGCTTTAATGTGTTGTTGTTTTGATGTGAATGAGAAATCCGCCTCGGTAGCAGCCGTGTGTCTGCGAGCGGCCTGTCAGTTTGTTTTATGTTGTTTTTGTCAAAGCGGTATTAGACACAAGCGGCTTCGGTGCAGCAATAAAGTGTGTAATTAATCTACTAATTGGGCAGCGTGTGTGAAAAGGTCAGCTGTCAGTGAGCGTCAGCAGCAGCTGCGACGCATCATGACAGATGTCATGTTTGTGTGGCGTCAGTGACTGATCGGCTCCCCTCCGGTGTTGTCCATATCTCTTATACTCCTCCTACATTTCCATAATCATCACATCCTCTCTCTTCCTCGCCGCCCGTCCTGAATCTCTCTGGCTCCTATCTGCAGCTCAACGACGGGCGCTTCACCATGACGCAGCTGGTCGGGATGCTGCGCGGCATCGCCGCCGGGATGAAGTACCTGTCAGACATGAACTACGTGCACCGAGACCTCGCCGCACGGAACATCCTGGTCAACAGCAACCTGGTCTGCAAGGTCTCCGACTTTGGCCTCTCACGTTTCCTGGACGACACGTCTGCTGACCCCACGTACACGAGCTCCCTGGTCAGTCAGATTAATGTTTTCTTTAGTCTAACTCTTACCGTTTCTAAAAGTCGTTTGTTTTAGATTTTATGTCACATACTGAGGCAAAGTGGCTCATAGTTGTGAAGTAGAAGGAAACTGGTTTTTACGTTTTTTTGACTAGAGACACACCAATCTGATATAAATATTGGTACTGGTTCTGATATCTAAAAACGTCTAGATTCTAGTGTTGTGGCACTTTAATCAAACTCCAGTTCGTTTGCCTAGAAAGTCCGGTTCTCTTGGGGAGCTGTGAATGCAAAGTCAAACTCTGGTTCTTTGGCACAGCGCCACCACAGGCAAGGAGGGGAACAGGTTTTTCAAATGGTTTGGTTGTTTGACACAATGAAAGAGAAACACAGCAGTAGAAATGTAACAAATGTTGCAATTTTGGTCGCCAACTGAACCGAGTCTAAAGGACTATCATGAGGGATAACATCCTGTTAGCTGTTGGCAGATCGGTCCAGCTGAGCTGTGGATCTCTGCAGCTCCTCTATAATTACCATGAACCTGTTGGCTGCTTCTCTAATTAATGCCTGGTTTGCCAGCTCAGGTGGTCGGCCATGTCTTGTTTGGTTTGCAGATGTGCCATGCTCTCTCTGCTTTCAGATGACAGATGGAACTGCTTTAAACTTCTCCACAGTTTGATCCCTGACTAGTCTGCTGTGTTACTTGGTGTCAGTGATTGGTTCACCAATGTATAAATGTATTTGTACATAGAAGAAATTACACACACTTCTGAAAGGAAACTCGTGTTGTGGCAATAATGTACACACGTAGCCAGTTCTTCTATAAAAACATTCCAGTAAAGTTTTTATCCACATAAACTCGTACAAATACGTCCATGGGCGTTGTTTAACATGCCAAAACCATAGGGGGCAGTGTAGCACACAGCTGAAACCTATGCCAGCCAATCAAATTGCTTCAATATAACCAATATTTCCTCCTACAAATTAAACACGGTGCCAGGACATTCATTTGTGTGAATAGGTATGGAAATAGAGTATTAGAATATAAAGTTCATAAAACACAAGATGATGTTGATTGGGAATCACAGAGTAAATATGTGGACATATTGGTGCATTACTTGTTGCTGACTCTAATCTCTGCTCTGTTTTCACATGTACACTCGCAAACACAAATAGAGATTTCTCAAATCTCATCAAATATGTAATCATGTTTAGTGATACTAATCGAAGTGTTTGTGTGGATGAATGAAAAAACACATAAGATGTCTTCATTTTCCCAGATATACAGTTACATGTGGACCAAGAGTATAGGGGCAGAATATAAATTGGTATTGGTAAAAAAAAAATGTTGAAACGTAAATAATTTGTCCCTCATTTCCTAATGATTTCCTTCTTTGAGATTTTTGGTTGTGTCCTCTTATTAAAATGTAGAAACATTGAATCAGTCATACAGAGAAACGCTCATTTGTCTTCAGGATATTTCATTCAAGGATCAACAAAGTTTAAACCTTTAAACCTCGGAGAAGACGGGAGTGAAGAAACAAGTACATACGTCGCATTTTATAGTCACGTACACAAAATCACACTTCCCTTACAGAACTTACCATGTCAAACATCAGCGTACATAAAACGACGATACAGTCTGGATCATGTCTGATTTCGCATCCGTGACCTTTCAACACAACAGTTCAACCAAAGGTCAAGATGATAAAAACATGTCTCAAAAATACCCGTCCATAAGCTCCTTTTTCCAGTAAACAAGTCAAAGTACAAAGTTGTCACCACAGTTATAACAAAATACAGAGAAGTTAGTGGTGTGTGAAAACTTGCGGGGCACTGTGTGTCTGTGCTTCTCTATTGTTTCTGGATTGCCGTGTATTCTATAGTAGCAATGTGTGTGTGTGTGTGTTTGTGTGTGTGTTTGTGTGTGTGAGCAGGGAGGAAAGATTCCCATTCGGTGGACGGCGCCAGAAGCCATCGCCTTCAGGAAGTTCACCTCGGCCAGCGACGTGTGGAGCTACGGCATCGTCATGTGGGAGGTGGTGTCCTACGGAGAGAGGCCTTACTGGGACATGAGCAACCAGGACGTGAGTTGGCCGCGCCGCCTCCCCGACACACACGCACCTGCGCCGCAGATCCCTTTGCAAAGAGTTTTGCGACTAAAGTTTAGCGGGGGCCGGCTGGGAGTTCCTCTGAGCAGCTGTGGCTTTGATTTCCAGAGTGACACATTGGACCCCGGCTCTGTTCTTGAGTCTTTATCTCCTCTCTGCAGATGCTGGTGCAGCTGTGTGCCTGTGTTCTACCTTCTTTTTTACCACCTTATTTACAGCTCAAGCCCGGCACACACCCTACAAATCCATACTGCAAAGCCTCCCCTCCTCACACTCACAAAGGCATTCTCAGGAAAGGCTTTTTTTTTTTACGGGCCTTGTTACCTGTCGGCTATCTGCTCTGCACAGACACTGGAGCTGCAGCACCGAGCTTTGTAGGAAAGAAAACAGAAATCTCTGGGTTCCTCCTCGCTGAGCAAAGTGCCGAAGCGGTGCGTACTGTACACCTCCACGCAACTCTCCGAGGACTACCGGCTCTGTATCGCGCTTCAAAAACGAGACGTGTAACACTGATACCAATAAAGCAAGGGAAAAAAAAAAAAAAAGAGGCAACCAAAATGAAAAATGGCATTAATGTATGTATAACTTTCACAACAAAACCCTAACGCAGTAATGAAAAGCATCAAAGCAGAGGCTCTCCATTGTTCCCCGTAGCCTTTGTGCCACAGCCGTTGCTCAATAAGCAACAGAGTCAACAAATACGAGATATAAACAGAGGTACTCGCCGGCTGGAGGCACGACACAAAATCAAAGGACAAGCAGCGGGAGGAGAGGAGCGCAGCAGAACTGCTTTATTGTTCCCAAATGCCAGTTTTTTTATTGTTGCGGGGAGCTGGAAGCCCATACAGAGCTTATGGAGGTAAATGCAGTTGCTAGGCGAAATCTAATCAATGAGCCAACGTGCTCTTCCTTCACTTATTGTTTTCCACGTCAGTCACAGCAGTTCTGAAGTGACAGCATTTGGGATTAGTTTTTTTAGAGTTTGGCAGAGACGCTGAAAGGAAGGATGGAATATTTGACAGCACAAACTGAGCAGCTGTCAAACGCAGGACATAATACAGAAAGTGGCGATTATCTTACTAGAACGCCAACAGACACTAAACAGAGTCTTTATGTGGTTAGTCAGAACTACATGGTTGAACATGATGGGGTTTATTTTAGCTTGTAGCTAAGGAATGGGGAGTTTGTTTTTTTCAAGTTGAAATGCTTTGTTTGACACCCCTAAGACTGTAAAAGAAATGATAGGTTATGGATTGGTGGTTCTCAGACTTTAAATTAAGTAGCTCCTCACTTATTACTTAGATTTCAAAGTACCACAATGCTATCAAGGACGGTGGCCTGGAAGGGTTGGCAAAACGCAAGAGCCACAACGCAAGTTATACTTTGAAATTGTTCATAAATTCTGTTTTACACTAAAATTTAGGTTTAGCATACCTTCAGTTTTAGCATAACTTGTATTGTAGCTTTTTGTTGTGTTGTGGCTACTTGTGTCTTTTTGTTGTTTTTTTTGTGGCTTTCTTGTGTTGTGGTTTCTCGTGTTGAGCCTTTATGTTGTGACTTTGTTTCTTCGTGGCTTTTCTTGTATTGTGGCTTCTTCTTCTTCTTCTTCTTCTTCTTCTGCTTCTTGTGTTCAGTCTCACCTGTGAAACTTGCATACATTTAGTCAGCAGAAAATTCCCCTTCAAAGGTTGATGCCAAATGCACAGTAGATACAAAATCCCCTGAATCAGATCACAGGCTGAAGAGGATAAACAAAGATGCTTATGTTTAAGGTAGATTTGCTGTTCTCCTGTTTTGAATTATTGATCTTCTCGGGGACGACAGGGACACAAAAACTGCATTGATATCCTGGTGAGACTTGGCTTTACTTTTCTTTTCAGTTCAGTTCATTTCCCCTTCTTTTCAGTGCATTATCAGTCCCCAAGAGGCTTTAAACAAAAATCAGAGTCTCTGTGTGAAATGCAGAGCTACGCATCGTCACACTTTCCCTTCACAGCCGATACATAGACTCAGTCCACGACTTTTCACTTTTTTTTTGTTGGCGTTAGAATTAATTGCCTTTTAAAAATAATACAGATTTATCATGTGCCTTGGAGACGTCATGTCAGCGCCGCATCATCTGTATTCTAAGAGCAAGTCGATGGTCCAGGCAGGTGATGCCACTTCATCAAAATGACTCAAAAACTACAGTTCGTGCAGAAGAACAGAGATTTTTATCTAATCAAAAATAAACTGAACTTTGTCTCAGTGTGGAAATCATGTGTATTGCTCAGGTGCTCATTTTAAATGTTCTTGTCTATTAATATTTAATTGTGCGCCTTCAGAGGATGCTCAATGATGTTCAGAGTAACAAACTGCTCCAGTTCAAATAAACACTTAACCAGTCTCTATGTTTTGAATTTAGTGGACCTTGAACATACAATGTTTATGCCATTTAGCTTAAAATTATTGTACTTATGAGTGGTTTTCCTTCTGTCAGGTAATGACGGCAGTAGAGCAGGACTACCGGCTGCCCCCACCCATGGACTGTCCCATGGTGCTGCACCAGCTCATGCTGGAGTGCTGGATGAAGGAGAGAAACCTGAGGCCTAAGTTCTCGCGCATCGTCAGCACCCTGGACAAGCTGCTCCGCAACGCCGCGAGCCTCAAGGTGGTGACCAGCAGCTACTCAGGGTGAGTCAGACATGTAAGTTTGATTGGACCAGAGCCACTCAGGTCGACGCCCAACAGCACTGGTGTTCAGAGCAACTCCATGATCTGCTAGCTGTGTTTCCATTGGCCTTAAAATTGCACAAATCGGAATTCCGAAAAAAAAAAAAAAATTGCTTAGTGGAAACAAAGCTCTAGTTTTTCAATAAAAAGTTTGTGTGCTAGGATGGGTTCTTTTTTTGGGGTTGTTGTTGGCTATTAGACTGGAGAAGAACCCATATTCATGTTCCCATCAACGCACTGAACAGGATTTAAAGGAAGGTAATAAAAAAAATATCCAAAGCTCACCAGTAGAGTGATCAACTTGGGGAACCATTAGATTCCAATTTTGGCTAATCCTGTTTTTTTTGTTTGTTTGTTTGTTTTTTGTCCAAAAAGTATCAAAATATAGCAACCTATTTTATACCAAGTTCTTGACAGTAGAGTTACTGTTAATGGTGCTGGTACAGATGTGACCTGGTTGGCGGCTCTGTCAGTCAGCCCTCTCCTACAGCAGAGCTAAAAGTGGTTCATTTTCAGACCTTTGAAGATTCTTATGTAATATTAACCAATCGCTGATCTCCTACTTGCTTGGGATAGATGCCAAAAATGTTTTACAAAAAAAAAAAAAAAAAAAAAAGCACTTCCTGTTTTCTGCGGGGGAAGACCTGTAATGTTGTGGGAATGTTTCTCCTGCAAAAACCCAGGGATCCTTATTGGAATGCAGAGCATCATAAACTCTTACCAGAGGAGATTTTAAAAAAAAATCTAATGAACTCTGCCAGTAAACTGAAAATGGATCATTGTTGGGGATGAACTTTGTGTGCACAATATTAGGATAGCATGAAGAAACAATCATAGAGTTGAAAATTGCAGTAATGACATCGATCGTGAATAACTCGCATTTTTCTCTCTATGCTTTTGTTCCCCCATCATCGCGACGTCTGAACTTCTCCTCTTCAGATTTACTGAAATCTATATCAGTTGATAGATGTTATTATTGATACAGAGTTTGAATAAATGATACTGGAGATATTATTCAGCCCTTTGTGACTGCATTGTTGCACGATTGGAAACGGTGATGTGTGTTGTGATTCAACATACTGCGTAGCTCGATCTGGTCCAAAACAGAACACCGAGCGCTCCTTCAGACTCAGAATCAATGCTCCTCCAAGGTCATCCAAGTTCCCATGATTCTGGAGCAGAGATCTGTGAAATGCCCAAGGACCAGAAGAATGGTCTCCTACTGCCTGAAGCAAAACATTTAAACAGAGATGCCAGCAATAGATTTCACTCCACTTTATAATTGTACTGAACTAAAGTTTGGATTTTTCTACATTTTTTTTTGCTGTGATATTATACTATTGTGGTAAATTTTGCTAACTTTTTTTTTTTTTTTTAGAAATTTATTGAAAATGTCGCTATGTCGTGACAATATAATCAGTAAAAATAAAAGTTCCTCTGTTTTCTCCCAGTGCCAACTAGAAACAAGCAATCACAAATAGGAGGCGGGTCTTAGCGCTGTCAATCACCTCTACGTGTGGCACTGCTCATCCTCCTTTCTCCTCGCCTTGCTCCCTGAATAAGAATATTCTGCTTGCTAGCATAGCATGTTGTGAATGCTAAGGCTAGTTAGCATAGACACCAAATGACGCCAGATAAACAATTCTCCTGTAACGGTAAGATGTTTTCTCTGCTATCCACACATTTAGCAACGAGTACATGAGGATGACTGACAGCGCTATGACCCACCTTTTGGCTCAGATTGGTTGTTTTTCTCCAGACAGTAACAGCAGCTCAGGTAGGAGGTGAAGGAGTTCGATCTTTTCATGGATTATCTTTCACGACATGGTGACAGTTTAAACAAGTGAAAAACTATTTTTTATGGAACTTACATCCTGCCGCTTTATTTAATGCTTCTAACATCTATACTACCAACCTTTATACATTGTATGAAGGTGTTTGAACCATGTGTGTCCATGCATTGACTTTTAGTGAAGCATTTGTTTCAAAATGCTTTTTAAAATCTGACATTTTCCCAAATGGATGTCCGTCTGGAGGTTCTTAATCATCTGTCTGCTCTGACGGTCGTCACTTTAAAATAAAAGGCAACGTGTTTGTAAATGGAGGCAACTTTGCTACTGTGGGCAAAGTTTGGCACAAAATAAAAAACAATCACTGTCCTCTTTTTCTTTTTTTCACTCCATCAGCACTCAAAATGGTCTGGAGGTTATTCCATGACGAAAGCAGAAAATAAAGCAGTAATGCATTTTCCTTCTTCCTCGTGTGAAATTGTCTTCGGTATTGTATATGACTGGTGCTCAGCGCAAGATAAAGATTGCTGCTGCGGAGACGGGCAGCGCTGCGCCTCTGGGTTGCTGGAATAAGATGTCACAGAAAAAAAAAAAATGTCTGGCCTGAAGAGAAGCACAACAAGGTGCGTGCTCGTTGGCTTTGCTTTGTTTTATACTCCGTGTTGACTCGATAGGATGCCTCTTTGCGCTGAAGGGCCTTTTTGCTGCCAGACGGATGTCTGCCTCTGAGTCTCTGACACTTCTCGGTGGAAGTGGAGATGTGATGTCGTAGGTAGCTGTGCTCGCCCCCAGGTGTTTTTTTTTTTTTTTTTTTTTTTTCCAGCTTTCTCCTTCTGACTTTTTGCCGACTTGGAACGCTCCGGCATGCTGACGTGTTTGTTCTGAATTTTGTTAGCCTGGAATTCAAGTCAACAACATTAGCGGTGTTCTTAGCGGGTGCTCAGAACACCGGATCGGCTGGTGATGTATAATGAATCAAACGCGGATCTTCAGCACTGTCTATGCCGCCGGGCTGGCTGGCTGACAGGCAGACAGAAAGAGAGACGCATACAGGAGGATTCACACGTTCAGTTTCCAGGTGCGGGTACCGGCTCCTTGGCTCCCAGTTTTCACTCTAACATGGAGTCCCCCGAGGGCATTTCCTCTGCCAGGATTTGGGCTCAGCGAAGCTAATTGTGTGTGGAAATGTAATGGCTGACCTCGCTTTAATTCCCCTTCCACTTGGCTGGATGCTGGAATGTAGGTGATAGGACAGAAAGCGGCACACGGGGTGCTGATGTGGAAAAGCAGGAGGTGATGAAGTGTGAGTAATAAGGGAGATTGAGGAGAAGCTAAAAGAGAGGAATGTGTTTAATTAGGTTGCTAATGAGCTTTTTAATGCATCAGGGGAGGGCGCGCCCGGCGAACGCGACGGGCGGAAAGAAGGAGAACGCGCGCGCTCCTATTTGCGTTGTGTTGCTCGTGCGTCTGCATGTTCCGCTGTGGCTGTGTGCCGATGACATGCCAATGATTAATTTATGGCCTCATCTGTATGCGGCGGCGGCGAGTGATAGATGGGGAGAGGAGAAGAATCATGTTGTCAGAGCGATGATTTAAAGAGCGTCTGCGTCGCCATTGGCTGCTGGACGATGCCGCGGTCAGATAAAGGGGATGCAGAGAGGGGATATGAGATGCGGCGCTATCTGCTTCAGCATCTCCAGCCACACGGGCCTTAAAAACAAGGACACTGGCCGGGGAACAAAGGACACTCGGCCGCTGGTGTCCCAAAGATAGCCAAGAAATATGTTGAAGTTTTATTAAAAACTGAAAACGTGATGAATAGATTCTGGCCTGGCTGTGGAGCTGCTTACAGCAGACGAGGCTTCAGATCAGCACGTTTTACGGTTTATTCCCATGATGTCGTATTTTATTATTTGCAATCGTAGGATCTGAGAGTGAGGAACTCTGCAGAATGGAGCTCCTCCGACACAAAGATGGGTTAGACCCAAGACTCGGACTCGCGGCAGCTTTGGCGTCTGAGAACTCGATGCTGACCTGTGTGCCGTTTGTCTTGGCAGGGATCTGCTGCGGCTGGGAGGAACACTGCCGGGACACAACAGGAAGAGTCCGGAAGACAGTCAGGAAATCATCCGGCAACAGATGAGCCAGACTCTTCCCATCAGAGTGTGAACTGCTGCAACGCATACATTAGGAGATTAAAGAAAGAAAAAAAAAACTACCTATGAACTCTGACGAGGAGAATCTGATGTACAAAGTCTAAAAATACAACAACAACAAAAAAAAGAGGGCGGAGAATAAAAGATGAAGGCAATGAAAGCGGACCGGTTCGAAGACTTCCTTCCCACTGGAGATTTAATGTCTGTATAAAGACAACTTCCCATTGCGGTGTGTGTGTTCATTACTTGACACTTGTGGATTTGTGACTGTTGACATGAAGCCAAACTTCTTAATGGACCCTCTCAGGTTGTGTTTGCATGCCTGCATGTGTTTTTTTATTTTCCTGTTTCTTTCCGCTGGTTGGGAATCAGCATTTCCTGCTTGCCGTCTCACCGAGGAAAGGTGAGCTCGCAAACAAACGTCTAAATGACGCAACAGTGCCAAGATGAAGCAAACCCAACCTTCAACACAGCTTGACCTCCGTATCAATCTGCTCGACCATTTGTTTTGTTCTTTCCTTTATTTCTTTTGTATGTTTAATCCCAACCAAATAGGTTCCTTAAAGTTAATTTTGGCGATGAGAAAAAAAAAAAAAAAAGGAACTTTTCATCCTCTTCCTCTTAAATACCGTCTTCCACAGAAACGTACTGGGAGATCCGTGTTTTACGAACCTGTACAAAGCATCCGAGTCTTCACCCTCTCCCGAACCCCCCGCGTCTCTCCGCGTTGGAGGCGAGACGTAGCTGACACTGTGCGGGACGCGGTCATGTGCATGCCAAAGTGGAAACTCCGTCATGAGAAACGTACTTACCAAGTTCCACATTCGCTGTTGCTTCGGTGGCATCTTTTGAATGCTAAGTTATTACCTGATACTGCTATTTTTTTTTTTTTTTTTTTTTTTTACTTGGGCTTAACTTTTTTATTACAAAGCTTGTTTTTTTGTTTTTTTTGTTTTCTTCCACATGGTAAGAAACCAGACAGACGTGAACGAGTGAATTAAGGAGACGTTTGACTCAGACAGGCTAATTATCTTTAAAATCACTGAGCAGACTGTGTCAGGATCGATGTCGGGCTTCTTCCTGCCCCAAGCAGAGCTGCAGATTTTACTCAGAAAAAAAAATCGCAGATTAGCAGGAACGTAAAACTGACTCAGAGGTAGAAAAAAAAACTGCAGAACAAATCAGCCATTGTTTCGTTTCTTCCTAATCAGTGTTTTCCTCGGAGCGCCAGCTGTCAGTGCAGTTTCTATCTAAACCAACTGCCTGTATATAACACCATGTTTGTATTAGACCAAACCACTGAGCAGTTACAGCTATCCGACCTGACTTTGGCCCTTTGCAGGGCCCTCACTTATCTGCTTGTTATGTTTTCATAAAGCAACGGATGAGGGAATTTGACGGTCATTACCAGGGATGTCCCGAAACCGATCCGAGTCGTTTCGGAAAACGCCTCAACTGAACGATTCCTCATATTGTTTTATAAAGTTTTGCACTCGGGATCGTTTTCAGAAAAGTTTTCATCCACATGAACCCACACAAATCCTCCCTTGAGCGTTTTTGTAAACATGCCAAACCCATAGGGGGCAGTGTGGCACAAGGCTAAAACCTATGCCAGTCAATCAGATTGCTTCAAAACAAACAACTTCCTGTCAGGAATTAAACATGGCACCAAGAGGCTCATTTGTGTTGACAGATAAAAAGGTTTAACTACTTTTAAACAATGTGTTAGAATATAAAGTTAATTAAACACAAGACAATGTCGATTGGGAATCTTGTCAAAGCGGATATGTTGGCACATTATTTGTCCCAGACTAATTTGTGAGTCCCTAAGTCTCTGTTTTCCTTTGTTCACACATGCAAACACACAGTTTCCTCAAATCTGCACTTTGATCAGAGTTTTATTAAATAATTGTTCTTGGTGATTAAACTGAGTTTTTGTGTGGTTGAAAGGCTAAAACAAAATTGTACTTTTTTTCCCCCAGATATCTGGCTACATGTGGACTAGACCTAAATTTAGTGAATTTTAATCAATTTTTGCATTAAGTCGATATATACTGAAATTAAAATAATAAATGCTATAGCTAACGTTGTTGTAACTGTGTAATGTTACATTATTCCGACAGAAGAAGCTGCTTTGAATAAGGACATTGTACATTTCTGCATCAATTTTTAGACTTCATAAAGTTAAATTACTTTTTATCCTGAAGTTTATCAAACTGAAAATGTCGTCAGATCCTGCCTAGTGGAAACTTGTGCAGCTTCATTGTTTCTATGATCTGACTCGAAACAAAGAGTTACTTACTAGCCTACTAGCTTAGCATTAGCATGCTTACTCTGGTTTATTAAAAAGAAAGGTTTTTTGATTATTTGGCGAGTGTGTTTTACCTCCTCAGTCGGAATATCACAGCAGCTCTGAGTGATATTTTATTGCATTTCTAGTTAACTGGTTGCAGATAAAACTTGAAAGAAGTCGTTCTCCTGCTTTTGGGACATTTGGAAACAATCTAAATCATATGACTATCAACATATGACTGATAGACCAGGAGCTGCAGCGGCCAATACAGTCTCTATCACTGTGAACTTCATTAGTTGGGGTGAAAAAAAAATACTAAGACATTCAGGAAGTGTAGATTTGTGACACGTGTGGCGTCTATTATGATTTCCATGGAGGAAATATGTTTACAAAAGAAACAACTGCACAGCTAGCTAGAGCTAAAATGAAATGCCAATAGCAATTAAAAAAAAAAAAGCCTAAACCAATACCTGGGATCGGATCGGGACATCCTTAGTCTGTCCGTATCTGAAGCTAAAGAGAATCTCGCCGTGAAAGAAGAAAACGTGTCTGTTGGGGCAGAGTTTTCCTGTGCAGTTAAAGGTGTACTAGATTGTAAAAAAATAAAAATAAAAAAAAAGAAAATGTGAGAAAACTAGAATAAAAATAAGCATTTCTTCTTTCAGTATTTTTACGATAATCATATGCAAATAAATTATTAAACACATCTCTGGTATTCTCTTTGATTCCTCGGCGGGTTCACTGGGCCGAAAGTTCCAGGTCTCCTCTGATGCAACCGCGGGGATGAAACGAAGGGAATCGCGAGTGTATTTTACCTCCTCAGTTGGAATATCACAGCAGCTCTGAGTGAACTCATTAAGATTTAAGATTAATCAAAGCCCGGACCGGCGTTGCTCGCCAATTAGCGAGACCGCAGGACTGTTGTGGGGATTTCGGTCTCTCCTGGGGCTCTCGGGCGTCCAGGAGCAGATTCTCACACGATCGGACGTACGAATCCAAAATCCAACATCGAAGCTCATGTTTTAAACTTTGATTATAACTAATTAAAGGTATTAATTATGTTTTAATCAATTCAGCAATATAACTGCAAGAAAAATATAATATTTAATATTTGTTCATGTTTTTTTCTCATTTTAATGATTTTTTTTTTGTTTTGTTTTTTTGGCTAACCTCTCTTTTCTGGTTAAAATTTGTGCATGATCTTACCTTTATGTACCTGTCGTTCTCCACACATATCTCTGTGGCTCTGTTGTAAAACATAAAACAACATTTCCTTTAATTTTTAAAAATCTGCCACCCAAAGCGAGTGGCATTCAACGGTTCTGCTCCATCTGCGTTTTGTAGATTTGCGCACATTCGTAATGGAAACACGAGCTGCGTTTCCATAGCAAATGTGCGGCTTTTTGGGGTCACTTTTGATTTTACAGAAGAGCTCTGGATTCAACATGTTCAAATGACAACTTTCCATGAGCGGTACGACGCTGTGAGCTCTACAAGAAAACAAACACAAACCATCTTCTTCCTACCACTTCCTGTCGTCTTTGTCGTTTCCGCCAGTAGTATCTGGCTGTTGGTCACGTGACTCGTGTGATGCGGGAAAAAAGTGTTTCCGTTGCTCGTGTGAAATACGTTAAGTTCACTACCGCTGAAAAACCACCTCATCCTCGCGCAAAAGCCTTTTATCAAAAACCGTGAGATTTTTCGTAAATGGCATGTTTCCATTAAGCTAACTTATTTTCGTGATTTCAATTTGGGCAATTTTAAGGTAAAGTTTAAGCCATGACACTGGCGCTAATCTATCAGCCAATCAGAGAAGACGTCTGCGTCTTATTTAGGCGTGGGAGCGAGAAGCCGCTTGTACTTGGGGAAATTGTCGCCTGTGATTTGCGATTTTACAAATGAGCTACAGACTCAACATGTGCGAATCTCAACTTTTTTCCAAAATTGATTTCTGTTAAGCAAATGTATTTTCATACTTTGTGGAATTCTCTGGTAAATGGAAACGCAGCTACTGATCCCTAACTCTCCCCGTCTTTGCCGTTCCCGCGCCGGGGGTCACGCTCAGGTTCTCTAATCATCAGCGGCGCTCTCACAGGATGCGACGGCGGCCGGGTCAACAGCCAGGCCGCTGGCATTTATCAAACGTATCAGCGCTACCTGCTGCTTGCAGAGCAGATAAACGCTCTGTGATGGCGCATCTTCTCCGTCTACTGAGAAATCCTCAAGCTTGGAACTGACAGGAGCGGCCTGGCTTTTTAATCACCAATGTCTTTGTTTGTATTTACCGTTTCCTATGAGACCAGACACAATGTCAGGAAGTGAGAATTTGCATCCTGTTTACCATTAAACATCTGAAGCGTTTACAGCTGCTCACCAAGAGACAACATTCACAGCACCTCCATTTCATAGAAGCTTTCTTTTTTCTTTTTTTTTCCCTCTCCACTGCTGCATCTTTGAAGATGATGCAAAATGGCAGCAAACCTGAAGGAAAATCTCTCACCACTGTATTACAGGCCATTAGTGGGGAGAAATCAGCTGCGACAGAGGTTTTAATGAGCGAGCTTGGCAGACTGGGAAAGTCGAGAAAGCATCCCCAGCGCCAAGCGTTGTTATTCGGTTGCTGCCAGTCGCTCGGCTTCGAGGCAGATCCAGACGTCACTGCGCCGACCCCGACGATTACTGCCAGATTAGCCGCAGCGCTGCCTCTAAACCGGACCAGACTTGGACTTCGGCAGGAGGGAGAGAAGCGCGCGCAAATCTGCTGGATTGGAGGCGATCTTTCAGATTTAAACTGGCGGTCCCACGTCCTTTTGAACGCACTCGTCACTTCTCTCCCGGGCTCAAAGGGCTCATTTGCCATCCTGTCCAAAGCAAGTTTAATGCCTCCAATTACAGGGGGAGGCTGGGTGGGGCGAGAGCAGGCAGATTTGGAGCGAGGAGGGCTTGGCAAGGGAGTTTTGCTACGCATCAGGGCCTTTTAACAGAGTAGTGATTTGCTGCTGGTGCTGCTGCTGGTGCTGAGGCTGCTTGTGCGGGCTCATCAATGGAAAACTACCCTCTTTACGGGGAAGGCAGGCAGCACTAAGCCTAAACTGAGAGGAGAGACACTGAAGTCTGGGGCTCTTTAACGACCTGCTATAGTTGTTCTGCGTTGGAAGGAATTTCTGCGCCTGCACCGAGAGCACAAGCGGAAATCAAAGCCCTTTCAGAAGTTTTTCATGCAATATAGTTTTCTGTTTTAATTGAATAATCTGAAATATCCAGAAGAGGGGGGAAGAGGGGGAGTCGAGGGTGTGAAGGGAAGCAAAGGATGGAGAGGGAGTGAGCTAAACAGCTACAGCTGCACTGATTATGTCTGACAGTCGAGAAAAACCTGAAATGGTCTGATTGCATTTCTAAACTTTTTACTAAATGGTTATCTTTACATCATCGGTTCAGCGTGTTGGGCTGTGAATCAGAAAAGTCGTGTTTGTAATGCACCGCAGGAAGAAAGACATTCACAATGTGACTCAACCGTGACATCACTGTCAATAATCTGCATTTACCAAAAAGCACATTAATTAAACTAAGAGATGTTTTAATCCATTTATGTAAAGATGAATTATTTAACCATGTCAAAAAGTAGGACTGTGAGATTAATGGAGTCAGCAAGAGGAGACAGAACAATTTTGTGTTTATGGAATATGGTGAGATTTTTATTAGACTTTCTGGAAAACTAAGAAACTCTGGTGTTTGTCCTCAGAGAGTAAATATAAAAACTACTTCTGAGGCAGTGCTAAGAGCTTTGAAAGAAATTCTCCTTTTAGCATCATCAGCAGGCTGCTAGCAAGCTAACATCACTGATACCTTCACTACTAATAGCAGCTAATGCTTAATGCTGCTTACAAACAGCCTTACCTGTAATTCTGTCACCTGTTTTTCTTTTGTTTTGTTTTTTTCCAACAGGGTCACCAAAATGTTTCCAAAAATGATTTAAAAGCGGTGAAGGCTTCTACAATGCTTTTCTAACCGAGTGCTGTTGACTAGTCAGGTGAGCTCTTCAGCGGCCTGAGTAGGCTTCCATTTCAAAAGATAATTCGCTTTACTCTGTTTGCAGGAATATGACATGAATTCAGCAATGTTTTAGTATAAATGTAAAGGTAAAACTAGCAAGTCAGCGCTAAGATAAGTAAGTAGCTTGGCACTGACAGCATGTGAATGTGTGAATGACTGAAGCGTCAAAGTGTGAAGCGCCTTGAGGTGCTTTGCACTTGATAAATGCTACACAGCTACAGGCTCATTTACAATTTAAGGTGAAGCTCTGAAGCACATGCTAATTTAGCTTCATTAGAAGCTAACAATTAGCCAGCGGTGACATTCGGTGCTTACAAACTGTTAGTCTTCTCTGCCGTTCTCTCTTCTTTTCCACTTAAATAGACTCTGGAAGCATTATCTGTGTAATCATGGTAGCTTCTTCATCGCTTTTACCAAATATTATCAGCAATTCATATTAGTTAGTTTAGCGCAGGACATTGGGCTCATGTGAAAAATGACAGGAATTTTGAAATATTTTTTGGGGAGAACTAGTACTACCTAATTTTTTCACAGACAGCTATCAGACCAAAATGTTCAGGTTTTAAGCTCATCTAATTCTAAGGTGTTCCTAAAGACAGAAACGCTTTGAAATTGTTGAGTTTTTTTTTTTTTTATGTGTTCACATATGGAAAATCTCAAAGTGATGAAGAAACGTGAAAGAATCTCTCAAGTGTAGGTCAGGTTTGATCTGTTTGACATAGATTTTGAATTTGAGATAATTAGATACATTTTCCTAAATGGAGAATAGTCTCATATTGGGGAGGGAGAAGACAAAACCCTAAAGTCATCAGAGCAAACATGAACTGAAAACACAGAGGAAGCAATCAGAGAAGCACAGGAGAGCAGGACCACCTGAACTAGTCAATAGAGAGCTGGCATGGTAACAGACAGAAGCAGAACATATTGCACCTAAAAATCTCCATCAAAATGAGGAGGAGGAGGATATGATAACTAAACAGCATTTTCACCAACTCTGTTCCTCACTACAAACTGGGAATGTTGGGCAGGTCACAATGTTCTCCACATTTTCATTCAGCTAATAACATATTTTGGTTATTAAGGTGCATAAAGTCACAAAGTACACATGACTCAAAGGTTTAAACTTCAGTCACTATCAGATGAATGAATTTGCCTGAACTCACATTAGGCAGCTTTCTAACAATGTTCAGCAGATCTGTACTAAGAATACATTTTTGGTTAGCGTGTATCTTCTGTCTCTTTTTAGCTCAAAATGCTT